TTTGACTTCTTCTTGGTCTTTATCCATTTGATACACTTTGCCAAACTTCAAAGAGATTATTTATACTTAGAAAAATAATAAGCTGAAAAATGGTCAATGCAGATAATAATCTGATAGACTGCGTTTACAGCATAACAAGCAATTTTATCACTATGCTACCAACCAACTTAAGGATGAAGTCAAGGCACTATGATTTAATCTCTGGCCAAAAGATACTGCTGGGCCATGGGAAGCAGATGAAGGCACTTGGGTTCTAAAGCTGTTAATGATGACTGGAGAAGTTTACCATCTCTATGATATCTGATATTATGCTCAATGATATCTGAAGTTAATAAGAGTTGAAAATATTTTTTTATTTGCAAATGAATTTCTACAATTTTTATTATATGATTTTAGAATTCAATGTTTACAGAATTTGCAATTGAGACAACTACTGAATATCCACAGTCCATCTTCTAGAATGAAAAAAAAGACAGACATGTTTTAAGGGAGGATTTAATCCACAGCAGTGTCTACAGCCTTAATTTCTGGTAACATTTTGGTCAAAAGTAATATGAGTAATGCACAACAATTAGCACCACAGTAAGTGACAAATATATTTGTAATGTTGGTATTTAATCCTCTGATGTCAGGTTCATGGAAGTTAATCATTTTTTTAATGATATCATAGTCACACCATCTGGTACCTCAATAAATAATGTACATAACAATGAATGCTGCACTCAAGTGGGGGCTCTAGCTGCAAATGCTCCAAATTTTCAGCCAATATTCTTTTTTTAGATACAAACTTTTTTTTTTGAGACGGAGTCTCACTCTGTCACCCAGCCTAGAGTGCAATGGTGCTATCTCGGCTCACTGCAACCTCCTCATCCCAGGTTCAAGCAATTCTCCTGCCTCAGCCTCCTGGATAAAAACTTTAATACATTTTTCTTATTTTGAAAGTAGTATATGTACAATACAGGAACTTCTGAAATCATGTAGAGTCATCCCTCAGTATCCACAGAGGATTGGTTCTAGGACCCCTTCCAGATGCCCAAATCCAATATGCTCAAATCCCTTATATAAAATGATAAAGTACTTGCATATAACCTATGTACACCCTCCCATATACTTTAAATCATCTCTAGATTACTTATAATATGTAATACAATGTAAATGCTATAAATAAATAGCAGTTATACTGTACTGTTTAGGAAATAATGACAAGGGGAAAAAAAGCCTGTATGTGTTCAATATAGATGTTACCATCCTTTTCATTCCTCGAATATTTTCAATCTGCAGTTGGTAAATCCATGGATGCCGAACCCACAGATACAGAGAGCCAACTGCATTTGCAAAGTAAAGAAATTAAAATCACCAGTACTCCAGAAATCAACAGTTATGTTTTGAGTCTATACATATAATATATATGTTCATATGTATATATGGATAGATATTTCTCCAAAGATATACACATGGTCAATAAGCATATTAGGAATACAGTAAGTATATATATTTAACCTTTATAAATATAAAAGTTTGTATGCTGTGCGTTATGTGAATATACACACAAAAAATTGTATCATAGTTTGACTCTTTTACATCATTTTCTTCACTTGGTAATTAGAATATCACATTCTTCTGTGATGTTATATTTACTGTTAGCTCACTCTTCACAACTCTCAATTACAGCCTAGGGATGATATAATAAAAACTCCTGGGTCAACCTAGTAGAATGCCCAGTCAGAAGGCCGATGCAGTAAGAATGGTTTGAGTAACAGTGGGCTGTCAGAAGACAACAGAAGAAGGGACAAATCAAAGAGACATCTCAAAGGGGAAAAAGACAATCAGAAGCTTGATAACAGGTTGGGCATGGTGGCTGGCACCTATAATCTCAGCACTTTGGGAGGCTGAGGCAGGCAGATCACTTGAGCCCAAGAGTTCAAGACCAGGCTGGGCAACAAAGAGAAACCCTGTCTCTACAAAAACACTTAACAATTACCCAAGTGTGGTGGTACATGCCTGTGGTCCCAGCTACTAGGGGGCTGGGGCAAGAGGATTGCTTGAGCTGGGGAGGTAAATGTTGCAATGAGTCATGATCATATCATTGCACTCCAGCCTGGGTGGCAGAGGGAGACAGGAAAAAGAAAAAAAAAAAGAACTTTATAATAGATAAAAGGACCAAAGGGAAGATAAATAATACCAAGATGATTAGCCTGGGAGACCTGAACTTTCCTGAGTCTGGAATAATAACAGAGAGAATAGAAGCCAGATCTATGAAATTAAGTATGGTCTGAATGGAATGAACATGAAATTACCTCACCAAATCCCAGGACCCTTCTAGAATGTGAGTCCTTGAAGACTGAAAGGTGTAATAGTTCAATTTTCACATTTTCAGTGGTAATACTAAGGAAAAAGTCAGGAGAACTGAAAGATTCAAAGGCCCTGAAAACCCTTAAAATGGAAAATTGAAAGTGAAACAGAAAAGAAACTGATAGACAAAATCTGTATCCCTACAGTCAATATTCTGAGTGAAGATAATCTCAAAAGATTTAAGTAAATTGGAATTTCTTTCTGGTCTTATAATTTGACACTCCTCAGGGCAAAAAGATTGGCACCAACTTACCACTTTGTAAAAATTCTCACATATCTGTTTTTTTTTTTTTTTTTTTTTTTTTCATTTATCAGGTTGATTACTTGAAATGCAATAAAGCTCCCTAAAGGACATCACTGAATTTTTACTGTTTAAAGTTTTATTTATTTATTTGAGACAGTCACACTCTGTTGCCGAGACTGGAGTGCAGAGGCACAGTCTCAGCTCACTGCAACCTCCGCCTCCCAGGTTGAAGCAATTATTGTGCCTCAGCTTCTCTAGTTAGATGGGATTACAGGCACACACCATCATGCCTGGCTAATTTTTGTATTTTTATTAAAGACAGGGTTTTACCATGTTGTCCAAGCTGGTCTTGAACTCTGGCCTCAAGTGATCTGCCCATCACGGCTTCCCAAAGTGCTGGGATTACAGGTGTGAGCCACTGTGTCTGGCCTGTTTACGGTTTAAAGTGAGACTAGTAGAAATGCATTTAGACTGATGCCTGTGGGCTCACCGTGGGCAGGCTGGCAAAGGACACACACCTGGCTGCCAGATGGCTGGGGCTGAATCTTGACTCCAACCCTACCCTTGGAAGATTAGCTTCTTATTTCTGCATCTCATCTTATTCATTTGTAAGTTGGGTATGATACTTAGCTTCATAGGGCTCATGTGAAAAATAATGAGTTTATATATAAAGTACTTAGACCAGTGGTGGCCTAGAGCTGGCTCCTATGGACTCATGAAAAACAACTGTGCACATCTCTTCCCAACTCCAATCCACTGGTGGCTTGAAATCAGTCCTGGTGAGAATGTTTACACTTCAGAAATCAGCAAATTCTACAAACATGACTGTTCTTCCAAAGAGCTGGCTGTTAATCATTCGCCAGCACACCATGACTTAAAACTGCCAATATGAACACATGACTATCAATAAATCCAGAATGTGAGACATTCTTTGAGACAACGGCAGGGACTCTTCAAACAACACCATAGTATAAAAATAAAAAAGGGTGGCAGACGATTTTAGGTTCAAATAAAGAAGCATAATTACCAAATGCAACATGTAAATGTTGATTAGGTCTTTCATTTAAAAATCTAAAGGGGGGACACTGAGAAAATTCAAGAAATTCAAATATATTCATAAGTTAATGTTAATTTTTCTTAGATATAATAATGGTGTTAAAATTACATAGTAGGAGGTCCTTATTTTTAAAGACGTAGGGTAAGTATTTAGGGGTAAAGTGTTATGATGTCTAAAACTTACTTTCAAATGGTTCAGAAAAAAAAATATGAGAGAGATAAAAAACAATTGTGGTAAATGCTAACATGTGATGAACCTAGGTGAACCTAGGTGGTCATTTTAACTTTCAATAGATTTTAAGAATTTCTTTCAGGCCAGGTGCCGTAGCTCATGCCTGTAATCTCAGCACTTTGGGAGGCCGAGGCAGGCAGATCACTTGAGGTCAGAAGTTCAAGACCAGCCTGACCAACATGCCAAAACACTGTCTCTACTAAAATTTAGCTGGGTGTGGTGGTGGGAGCCTGTAATCCCAGCTACTCAGAAGGTTGAGGCAGGAAGAATGTCTTGAGCCTGCGAGGTGGATGTTGCAATGAGCTGAGATTGCACCATGGCACTCCACCCTGGGCAACAGAGTGAGACTCCGTAGAGAAAAAAAAAAAAAAAAAAGAAAGAAATAAAATCAGAGAACACATGCACTCAACTATTTCATGGTGGGTCACAAGCTGTAATCTCTGTTTTCTTTTTGATGGAAAGACTTTTCCGGTCTGTTTCTAAAAGCAAAAAGTCAGATTATATTTTTCATTGTAAACTCACTCTAGAAAATCAAGCCATTCAGCACTGCAGTCAAGGACTAGCTGCTCCCGGAGCTGATTCAGATGTCTGTAATTTTCTACAATAAAAGGAGAGTGAAAACGGCTCACAGCTTTTGTGCTAGAAGAGGGGAAAAAACATAAATAGGAAATCAAGGTTAGTAAAAAATCGAAATGCCATCACTTTAGAAAATTAAAGTAGTTATTTATTATTCTCTGATGAACCTTGAAAGTAAACAGCTGTAAACAGAGGAACATTCTTTAATTATGGTCCTGAACTCTACTGATTCCAAAGAATATGACTTTGCTCAGGAAGTCTTTCTAAATGCACTTCAAATTATATCCATATGGCAAAGTCAGAGTTTAAAATTTTTATTTCATAGGCAAAAAGCTTTTTTCTTTAAATTATACTAAGTGAGAATGCTTTTTTTAAAAGATAAGAAGCAAATATGGTAAAAGAAAGTATGACATAGCTGGGAGGTAGATACATTGGTGAAGGTTATATTATTGTTTTATGGACTTTTCTGTATGACTGAAGTATTCCAATGAAAAAAGAAAAAGAAAAAGCATTACAAAGAATAGCAATACATTAATTCAGGAGGCAATTTAAAAAGAGATCTTTAGGATACTGTGATCTGTGCAGATTCACAGTGGCCTTGGATGGGAGAAAATACCAAATGCTCCCCATCTGGGCTTGAGTATCATCTCTGCTCTCCATTCAGTAGCTGTAGAGCACAACAGAGGATGCCATGGATCCCCAGTCAGAGAAACCAGGTTGAGGCTCTGGTCCTGCAACTTACTTACTAGCTATGTCATTTTGGGCAAATGGAACAGACCTTCTCTAAATATCACTTTCCTCATCTATGAAATAGGGATAATAGTATCTACCTCATAGGTACTGTTGAGAGGATCAAACAGCACTTAGGAAAGCACCTATATGTATTCAATAAAAATTAGTTGTTTTGTAGTGGTGGTGGTTGCCATTGCTGTTAATGCTGTCATTATGATGATAAGTCTTCAAGAAGAAAAGGTCAACGTGTCTGGTCTTTGTTTGCTCCCCCACTCTTATAATACACTGCTGCACTTTAATTTGCCAACTTGCTGAATTAGGGGTGGGCCTTCTGCAATCAAAATCTGACTGCTGATGTTCTAACCCATCTCTGTCAAAGCCCTATGGCCGAACAGATAAATTGCAATGAATCTTTCCAAAACCATCTTATCTGTTGATTCAATTTACATTATTGAACATTCAAAAGATGGTGACACTGATTTACGCCTTGCTTGTTGCTTTTAAATTACATCATCTAGACTTCTATGCCAACATATTTATCAAAGCTTTCTCTTCTGGCAGAACTCATTTAGTGAGATATTTCGGTTATTGTTGTAGATAGACTAACATGGTTTTTGGCAATTTCTCTTCATAAAGCATATTTCATTCACTAGCTGTGGCATAGGACAAAAAATAGAAGGGAAGAATGCCTGCAAAGAGAGAAAACAACATCCCTAGAATCAACAATACCCAAATCTAAAGTATACCTTCTGGTAGCATTTTTTAAAAAAATAATGGTATTAGTGTGAAAGATATGTATGCCTGTGCCTTCAACATTTGATAATGTGGTAAGGGATCATGAACATTTTCTTTTTAAGTTAAAATAATGAATTATGGGCCGGGCACGGCTCACGCCTATAATCCCAGCATTTTGGGAGGCCGAATTGGGCAGATCACAAGGGATCAGAAGGTCAGGAGTTCAAGACCAGCCTGGCCTACATGGTGAAACCCTGTCTCTACTTAAAAAAAAAAAAAAAAATGCAAAAATCAGCCTGACATGGTGGCATGAGTCTGTAATCCCAGCTACTTGGGAGGCTCAGGCAGGAGAACTGCTTGAACCCTGGAGGCAGAGGTTGCAATGAGCTGAGATCATGCCACTGCACTCCAGCCTGGGCTACAGAGCAAGATTGTGGCTTAAATAAATAAATAAATGGGAGGCTGAGGCAGGTGGATCACCTGACTTTGAGACCAGCCTGGCCAACATGGTGAAACCCGATCTCTACTAAACATAACAAAAAATTAGCCAGCCTTAGTGGTGGGCACCTGTAATCACAGCTATTTGGGAGGCTGAGGCAGGAGAATCACTAGAACCCTGGAGGCAGAGGTTGCAGTGAGCCGAGATCACACCACTGCACTCCAGCCTGGGTGATGAAAAGAGACTCCTTCTCAAAAAAAAAAAAATAACAATAATATAATAATAAATTAACAAGCATTCACACATTATGTAAAAATTTCCCTTCATCCTTAAAACAGAATGCCCATACACTATTACCAGCTACCAGTCCCTCTTCTACCACCTTAGGAAAATGTACCATTTTCATCTTGTTTGTGCAACTTATTGGTAACAGTACTAATAAATATTCCACAAAAAATACTACTCACAGCTGTATATACTTCCCTAATGCCTTGTCTTTAAATGAGTCCCCTCTTGGGGATTAATGTCTAACCAAGGAGAAAAGGCAGAGTCCCAACATAGTTCTCTAAATTTGTTTTTGATTAATTTATTTTTATGAATTCATGATCTGGGTTACCAAAAAAAGATGTAAAGAATTATAATAATTATGTGCCAAGGAAGGCATTAAGAATAAAGAAATGTGGAGCTCAGTGAGGTAGAAAATGAAATTGCAGCTTCTTAAAAGAAATGTCAGGCACAGCATTCATCATGAAGTACAAGCAACTAAATTAATCTTACAACTGAAAGTTCCTCAACTTTTCTTTCATGTGTACCCTGTGCTGTAAGAATAAAATAATTTACAAAACAAGAAAACAAATGTGAAAAATAAGATACTTTTTTCAAACATGTTTTAAAATCAATGAGAAAGAGTTAAAAATATGATCTCCTTGGTTAAAAGTTCCATAACAAAGGGCCAGACTCAGTGGCTCACGCCTGTAATGCCAGCACTTTGGGAGGCCAAGGCGGGTAGATCACCTGAGGTCAGGGGTTCAAGACCAGCCTGACTAACAGAGTGAAAACCCATCTCTACTAAAAATACAAAAACTAACTGGGCATGGTGGTGCATACCTGTGGTCCCAGCTACTAGGGAGGCTGCGGCATGAGAATCCCTTGAACCAGGGAGGCAGAGGTTGCAGTGAGCTGAGATTGCACCACTACACTCCAGCCTGGGCCATGGAACAAGACTACAAAAAATCAAAAAGTTCCATGAGAAGAAAAAAATAAAAAGAATTGCTTTTAGTTTCGAGAATGTGTTTACTATCAGTCCAGTGGCACACAGATATACAGATGTCATTAAAATTCATTATAAGTAAAAAATTTATTTTAAACCTACCTTCCAACCTTTACCCAATCAGTTGGTATACAAGACACAGCAGAGTTCTTTATTTCGATCAAAAACTAAAACAAATAAACAGATATTTAGATGAATAACCATTATATATTTTAAAGCATTCCTCAAATTGTGGTATGACAATTTATTATATATTGTTCTAAACACTCGAAATAAACCCAGTATTGTTTTTCAGACTGTATATATGTCAAAACAGACAAACATTATTAATTAAAGGTTCAATACTTGGGACAAAGTACAATTTGTATTGCACAAAACATCGTAATATGTGGGCTTTCATGTTTCTAATATTGTTAGATATGTACTCTGAATGATGGCTTTTTCATTAACAAACTTTCATTTATTCTCACTTATCTTAAGAATTCTATTACTCAGAAAAGATTGAATTTCCAAGTATATAAAATTTTAAAATATTCAATTACTAGATGTTACACCGGTTTGAGACATGATCCTCCCCTATTCTCAACAAAGAGGATTTTTAGATAGTTTTTATCCACGGAACCTAAATCCTCTAAAATTACCTTCATAGGAAAGTACTGACTTCTCCAACTACAAAGAGAGGAAAGTATTTCTTCCCATATGAGAGTTTTCTTTACGTTTTTGCTTATAAGAACCAAAATATCTTTTTAAAAAGATTTTTGTGGGCACACGGTAGTTGTATATATTTACTGGTTACATGAGATATTTTGATACAGGCATACAATGCATAATAATCACATCAGGGTAAACGGGGTATCCATCACCTCAAGCATTTATCTTTTGTGCTACAAGTGATCCAATTATACTCATTTAGTTATTGTACAATTAAATTATCATTGATTATAATTTCCCTGTTGCATTATCAATATTAGGTTTTATTCATTCTTTCTGTATTTTGTATCCATTAACCATCCCCCATCCCTCCCACCCCCACTACCATTGCCAGTTTCTAGTAAACATCATTCTATTCCATATCTCCATGAGTTCAATTGTTTTAATTTTTAGCTCCCACAAATAAGTGAGAACATGCAAAGTTTGTCTTTCTGCACCTGGCTTATTTCCCTTAACGTAATGACCTCCATAATCCACCCATGTTGTTGCAAATGACAGGATCTCATTCTTTTTTTTTGGCTGAATAGTACTTCATTGTGTCTATGTACTACATTTTCTTTACCCATTCGTCTGTTGATGGACACTTAGTTTGTTTCCAAATTTTGGCTATTGTGAACAGTACTGCAATAAACATAGCAGTGCAGATATCTCTTCAATATACTGATTTCCTTTCTTTTGGATATATACCTAGCAGTGAGATTGCTGAATCATATAGTAGCTTTTTCTTTTCTTTTCTTTTTTTTTTTTTTTGAGGGACCTCCAAACTGTTCTCCATAGTGGTGGTAGTGGTATTAATTAACATTCCCACCAACAGTGTACGAGAGTTTCCTTTTCTCCACATCCCCACCAGCATTTGTTATTGCCTGTCTTTTGGATAAAAGCCATTTTAACTGAGGGGAGATAATATCTCATTGCCATTTTAATTTACATTCATAATATCTCTATAGATCCAACTGTGCCCTGCAAGTAAGGTTCTCTGAAATCAGCCAGGAAGCAAGTGAAGTTCTTCTATTACACCCTTCATTTTTAGCATTAGTTATATATTAACTCTTCTCAGTGTGCTCTCATTCCTATATTATTACAATCAAATTCAGGCCAGGTGTGGTGGTTCACACCAGTAATCCCAGCACTTTGGGAGACTGAGGCAGATGGATTACCTGAGGTCAGGAATTCAAGACCAGCCTGGCAAACATGGTGAAACCCCGTCTCTACTAATAATACAAAAATTAGCCAGGCATGGTGGCAGGCACTTGTAATTCCAGCTACTTGGGAGGCTGGAGCAAGAGAATCGCATGAACCCAGGAAGCGGAGGTTGCAGTGAGCAGAGATCGCACCACTGCACTCCAGCCTGGGCAACAGTGCCAGACTCTGTCTCAAAAAACAAAAACAAAAAAAATGAATTCAATGTTTCATTAAAATACATCTCTAAAAACCTATTTTGAGCAGAATGGAACCCAGAAACTCTGGTTGTAATTTTGAGATGGCTATGAGAACTTTTTCACATTTATCAGTTTCATTATATGCATATAACTGCAGGTATTTATGATGTTCATATTAATAATAGTATAATATGGTTCTTCAGTTTCTTTTTCCCATTAATAGAAACACTGTAGCTTTTACATTAATTATATTAAGAATCAGTGGCTAATTAAAAAAATTTTCATCCTTACAAAAATGTTTGGAACTAGTGATGTCCTCATGCATAGAGAAGAATTAATAGAGTTTCAAATCTGCCACACCTACTTAAATAGTTAAGAGTGAAGATTCTAAAAAAGTCTCCTTTGGCTACAAAAGTAATTTTTGAAAAACCACAAAAAATGTTATTAATAGGAAAAACAAAACCACTTTTAAACTATGCTAAATAATTCTGCTATTTTAAAGTGTTCTATCAAAAGAGATGTTGGCCTTTTAATAAAATAATTCTGGAAAGAGCTATGCTAAAGGGAAACAGCAAAACTCAGGAATAGATTGATTGGATCACTGATATTTGGGAAGGACACATCCAGATGCATAACGACTAACACAGAGCTCCACAGGAGTTACCACCTAAGGGATGGACATTTTGAACAAGGAGCGCCTTGGGAATAGTTTGGACCATAACTATTCAATCTGTACGTATCAAAGTTCTACTCTAGGGACCACAATTGCTATAGCAGGCCACATACACAGGGCCAATACAAGGAGGAAAACAGTGAGAGTCAGAAAGGTGCAAGTTAAACACCTCTGGTCATGTCCTCAGATAAAGTCTGGTCCTTGGACTCATCCTCAGTGTCCCTTTTCCTCACTCAGCAGTCCTTGGGATTTCAGCCTGGGCTCCTCCTCAGAGCTGTCATCTGCTAGCTTTTCTTCTCTTCTATACTGACAATAGGATACAAAATTTTTTCTCTATTCTTTTCTTCAAACATTCTAAGAATGAGAATAAGCAGGCAGGCCTTTGGTTTAAGAATTATTAAAGAAAACTAACGCAGAAAAACAGCATACATTCCAGTAATCTTAGAAAGCTCTTATAGCAACTTTTCCTGTTCTACAGTTCCTGACTTTGTTTCTTAGGTGTTGATTTGAGAAGTCTGCCTTGATTCATTATAGCAATCTCTCATATTCTTCTCCTGGGACCCCATTCTGTCTTAGTTAAATGTCAGGTATTGTTACTCAATCTATATAGCCTGTGGTATCACTGGGCTGGCAACATTGCTAGGTTTGCTGAAATTCTTAACTCACTCCAGAAATTGTTGTTTTCTCCAGCACCACACTTAACCCATTGCTCCACCCCCCTCTTTTCATTCTCTCTCTCTCTCTTTTTTTTTTTTTTTTTTTTTTTTGAGACAGAGTCTTGCTCTGTTGCCAGGCGCCAGGCTGGAGTACTGTGGCGTGATCTCGGCTCACTGCAACCTCCACCTCCTGGGTTCAAGCAATTCTCCTGCCTCAGCCTCACGAGTAGCTGGGACTACAGATGTGGGCCACAATACCCAGCTAATTTTGTATTTTAGTAGAGATGGGGTTTCACCATATTGGCCAGGATGGTCTTGATCTCTTGACCTCATGATTCGCCCGCCTCAGCCTCCCAAAGTGCTGGGATTACAGGCATGAGCCACTGTGCCTGGCCTCCCTTTCTCTTAATAATTTAAAAAGTACTTAGATTTAACAGATTTTTTCCACATTTTAAACATAGTAAACAGATATCTGGATATGCTGCATGCTGCCAATTCATAAAACTCTTTCTAAAGATTTTTTTCAATATCTTTCTTTTTCCCTTAAAAAAATAATAATATTTATTAGTACTGCCCCCAATCTAAATGCTGCCCTATTTCCATTTCATATTTGATTCAAGGTTAAAAGATAATTGGCCTATATTCATAAAATATGATAGAGGCTATTACAGAAGCAGTAAACTCTGCAAACTTCTGCTTTCATTACATACATACATAATATTCATACATATATGCATTCATTATTATGTAATAATACATAATAATGTGTGTACATTACTACATAAAAATATAGTTTCTGCTTTTATTAATTCCTTCTAAGCCAATAATTACATAGTCAGAGACAATAAGGCACCATACAATAAGGCTTTAATATTCTAATGAGTAACAAAAGCTGGGAACAGAAGTGAAAAATGAATGTTGTCAAAATAACACTGGATTGTGGCACATTTACTAATTTTAGTAAAAATAACAAGATCCACATAGCTTCACATGGATCACATGGGGCTGCTATAATGGATCTTTTAACGTTATTACAAAAGCCATATGTATAGAAATAAAATGTCAGACAGAACAGAAAGGTGAAAAGCAGCACCAATAAATGTAAAATAAGGGTTTTTCACCCTGCCTCCCTCAATTCTCAGAGATAATCATATTTGATGGAGTCTGCTCCTAGTCCTTTAAGTACCTCTAAATAATTTGAGAATACCATCAATCCTGTTTTTTGTTTGTTTGTTTTTTGTTTTGAGATAGGGTTTCACTCTGTTGCCCAGGCTGGAGTACAGTGGCATGATCACAGGTCACAGCAACTTCGGCCTCCCAGGCCCAAGTGATTCTCTACCTTTGCCTCCCAAGTAGCAGGGACCACAGACAGATGCCACTATGTCTGGCTAATTTTATTTTTATTTTTTAAAGATGATATCTCACTATGTTGTCCAAGCAGGTCTTGAACTCCTGGGCTCAAGTGATCCTCCTGCCTTGGCCTCCCACAGTGTTGAGACTACAGGTGTGAAACACTGTAGTCCATTTTTTAAAAACAGAATTTGATGAAAACAGTTTTGAATATTTATAATTCCTTTGGTGTTCCAATGAATAGAATCATTAATTTTCAAAATGTCTTATGAAAGCAATTCTGTATTAATGTTCTACTAAAATCCTAGAGAAGACTATTACAAACCAACAAGAATACCTCCTACTATTAATAATGAAGAAACTTTGTTCCTCAAATTCATCAACTTAACCTAGTAGAGACAAAAGATAACTGATCTTCCTTTGTAATAATTTTTAACATAATTTGTTGATCTCCATGTTGTACTTAAACCTCAATACCACAATCATAATGAATAAGAGATAGTCTACTATCTCTTCTGAATTCCTGTTAATTTTCTCTCATTTTTACTCAAAAATTGCCAAATGAATCCAGGAATGTCTTTCCAAGACTTAAACTTTATTTTATTTTGAAAACTATGAGCTCTAAAATATCTAAATTTTGTTAGATAATATCAATGGTTTTGAGAATCATTTGTGTTAATATTCGGAAATAATAAATGGAGTGAAATACTGATATTAATATAATTGAAAGACTGGGGTCTGGCAGAATTTGGATGGAACTGTGCTTCCAACCTTGGGTAACTTATCTAACCCAAACCTTGGTTTTCTTTCCAGCAAAACTGGAATGATCCTTTTTGGTGTTGTTATAAGAAGTAAACAGGATAATATATGTAGGCACCTACCACCATTCTAGACTTTAACAAGTACTTGATAAATGGTAACTGTATTACTACTGTTGTTATTATATGAGTAGCATAAGCACAGCACTTTATGATTAAAAAGCACTTTCATGTATATTAACTTAATTGGTCTCCATAATAGTCTTACAACTGAGGTAACTCTTCCATGGTCATACAGTATGTAAATGGTAGAAATGGCACTTACACTTAACTTTCTCCACTGTACACCAGGCAGCCACTTTTCGATTACATGTCTTTTATAAAAGTAACTAAAGCAGTGTTAATGATCTGATTTTAACCAATCGCCAGAATAGTGACCTTAGGTCAATTTTCATTTTGCAAGGTCATGACTGCATAGTAAAAACAAGAGCTACAATTAAATATTTGGAATTTGTCTGTTCAGACAATAAACATAAGTATAAATATTGTCAAATCATTTTTCTGTTATATAGACCTCCATGTAGCACTGCGAATGTCTGCTGAGTATAACATGTTAATAATTTTAGTTCAGAAGACAGGTTGATTTAATGGGTAAATCTATGAAATAGCACAAAACTAATAAACACTTTAATGAACATTCTCAATTACTGTAGCGCTGCTTATTTCAAATAACTATAACAGTCAACAATCTTTTGGCAAAACACACAAAGCAATGTAAGAATTTAAAAATTTGATTTGAAATTAAGTTCTTCCCAACCAGAAAAATACGTATTTTTTTAAAAATCCTGAATAAAATGCTCACTCTATAGATGTTATCCATAAATTTCCTAATTTGCTATTTTAATAAAACAGAATTTCTCAAACTCCCCCAGGTTGAATCTTCATATTTTATTAAACATAAGATATAGGAGTAGCATGCCTCAAGACTCAGAATAGGACTGAAATGCACAACCATATTTAAAAGGCATACTTCTTCCTTTTCTGGTTCTCATTCAGACATTACTATCAAACTTTAAACAGAAGTACACATCCCCAAGAAACATATTCTAAGCAGTGCCATAATTTTATGGAAGACTCACTAAATGCAGTTTCTCACTCTAGATTTGTTTTTTTAGCAGCTATACTCTTTAGGAGGAAGCCCCGCATTTAATCACTGTATGAGCCAATGAACACGGTGGCCCACTTTGTATTTTTTCATCATCTGTAAGGCAGGGATCAAAGACTAACTTCTCTTTCCTGGATTTAAAACAAATGAATTCTATAAGTTGCTATTCATAATAATCGAGATTTCTATAATATAATTTCAACAAATAACACTAAGACACATATAACATTAAGTTGCATTACTTTCACAAGAGAATAATAAAACACCATCATTTAATTCTTATCAAAACAAGTTATTATAACATATTTCCAAGGAACAAAACAGAAAATTTGAGAAGATAATACATATCCTATCTTCAGATTTTTATTTACATTTTAAAACAGCTTTTCTACTAGAGGAAAACTAATAGAAAATAAAAGTAGATTTGACATTACCTCCTGTCCTGATACTGTCACATATTGTGCAGAAGGATTTTTTAGTATTTTTCTTATTTCTTGCAAATGTATTCGGATCTTGTCACTAACACCTTGAATTTCATCCTTCCTCTTTTTTATTAAAGGGAAGTCAGAAAGGTCTTTAAATAATTCAGTTTTATCCCCAACTCTAAAAAATCAAAAAATGCAAATGCATATTCAAAGTTTATTAATTAAAGCAGTTATCACTTATTTTTCAAAGTGTGATGAAAGAGGAAAGCACTAGAAGACAGGGAAATGTGGTTCCAATTGTCACTAAGCATTTACGGGTTTTTTAACTTTTCTGAGGATGGTCAAAATTACCCTAATATCATTTTGTCTTATTAAGTTCATGATTCCCATGGTAAAACCAAGAAATAAACTATTTGTTGTTTGCCTATGCAGAAAGCAAAAACAAATGTAAAGGTCAAATCTTACTTCATTTATATAGAACGTTTTGTGCAACACATTGTAAAATAACTACCTTTTAAAGGATAGCTTTGCTTTTAAAGATTCTAAATATAAGGCCATCTCTGGAAATACAGGAAATGAGTACAAGATACCATCTGACACTCATTTAGGGGTTAATAAACTACTACTGCTTAGATTTGCCTGTGTTTTACCTTTTCATCATCAGATACCTGGGGAAGAACTATATCTGTCCTAGACAAAACTGCCTAAATTTTAGAAAGCAAGTATTCCAGGTGTAATGTAATACTTTTAGGATCCAATCACATTTCTAATGATATGTGTACTCATGCAACTTCTATTATTAGTCTAGTAGAGATTAAGAATCCACAAATTAAATGGCAAATGCACTGGATTATGCTGACTGCTGAAAAGGAAGAATTGTGGGTCTAATACTTACTTGGCAGCTTGTTCATTGAGTATCTTTAGGTAATGCTCTACTGGATTGAGGAGTTCAGGAATTTCTAAAATAATGGTCCGGAGCAAGTCTGACTGAACGTGGGAATTAACAGCAGGTATTATTGCTTGAAATTCTGACTTTAAGTGATACAAGGTTTTGACAATCAAGAAGAACTCTTGGGTAGAACACTGAAAATAGAAATATTTTTTACCAAAATAGCATAAGATACATGAAAATGAAGTTTAATTAGTGATCTTTTAAAAGTTAGAATCAGAATTAAGGAAAGTTTTAATTTTCTATTAACCAGTTAGTTGAAATAAAATACCACTATATTTTCTAAATGAGGTTAAATACTATGTAATATTTTAAAGGCATAAAGAAAATAATTTTAGCCAGGGAAAACAAAGCCAATTCTTGTTCAGTATTTTTTCATTTTAAAATACATAAACCATATGGCAAAAATATGTTAGACAAGCTAAAAAAAATGTGAAGAATAATATCTGTAAGACATAACAGACACAGAGCAAAATTCTCCCAAATATAACGGGCTCTGCAAATTGTCACGAAAAAGATGAATAATCCAAAGAATAATGGCTAAACGAACTGAATGTGCAGCTCATAGAAAGAGAATAGCCAGTAGGTACATGATTATCTTCATATATAACAAAAGACAAGCAAATTAAAAATACAGGATAGCATTTTTCACTTATCAGAATGTCAAAGATTTAAAAGCTTCACAATAACCATGTAACAGGATGCAAAAAAAAATTATATACTATTAGCAGAGGACTAATCTTTTTGAGAAACAACTGGCATGTCTTCATAATAAAAAAAATGCATAAACTCTTTGAATAAGCAGCACTTTAAATAATTTATCTAAAAACAGACTTTAACAAATAGTGAAAAATATGTGTCTGAAAATTCATAGTAGCACGGCTTATATTAAAAAGATGAATAAGAAATAAATATCCATCAATTGGGATATTAGGAAAAACACATGCAATGTAATACTATGAAACAGCTAAAATAATTAAGATGTTTGTATCAGCACAGAACTCTGTAATTTCAACATATAATGAATATACAGAGTATGTTTACATCAATACCACATATGTATATATTTTTATGTATTTACATGGTAACACTTTCTTTGTGATTTTTTAAATGAGATGCATTATTCAATATAAATAAAAAATATAAATATCAATAAATATTTTAGGAGCTAACACATGTGACTTACTCTGGTTACCTCTGGGTATTAGGTATGGAAGGGTGGCAGAGGGAAACTTTTTACCCATTATTTTATACCCTTGCATACTACTGTAGTATTTTTTTTCTTTTTTTTAACATGAACATAAATAATTTTTACATTGTAGCTTCTGATAAACAGAGTGGGTTAAACACATGCATCTAATTTCTCTCCATCTTGAAACGACAGTTAAGAGATTATTTAAAAAGGCATAAAACCACATTAGAAAAGTGGCCAACAGCAACAATACGTTAGAAGCTATAAAGTAAGCAGATAAATAGTAATTGATTTAAAAAACTCAAAGTACCTGAGTTTTAAACTGTCCTTAAGGAAAACTGAGACACAGTTTACATCAAGAATCCAAAAAGATGTGTTACCAGTTCCGACTGTGCCCTGCTAGAGAACTTCTAAACATATTAATATCTTCCATGAAACAGAAGATATTACAACCATGAAACAAGATGCTACTTTTAAAAAGAGAAAACATTTGAAGAACAAGAAAACAAAAATTCTTGGAAATTAAAGTATAACAGTAGAAATGAAAAATTCAACAGAAGAGGTAGTAAAGATAATAAAGTCAGCTAAAACTTAGAATTTTATACCCATCCAAACTACCAATCAAATGTGAAGGTAGTAACAACAATTAAAAAAAAACACACACAAACTTCCAGACATGAATGTTTTAAAAGATTTACTTCCAACATGTCTTCTCAGAAAGGTTCCAGGGGATATACTCCATCAAAATGAAGGAATAAACTAAGAGGAAGACATAGAACGTAGAAAACAAAAAATTCAACTCAAGAGAAGTAAAGGGAATCTAAGGTAGTACTGTACAACAGATATGAGGACAACCAGTCCATAATGAATCAAGTCAGAAGGCTGTAGAAGACAATTCAAGAAAATAAAACTGATACAATATTGGCTGAAAAGAAATGTCTTGAGATGAGAAAACAATTTAAGGGTAAAGTAATAAGGCATATAATAAGTAGTATAGATGAAATAGATTAAGGCTAAAAACATATTCAAAAAGGTAATTATTAACCACAAAGGGTTAAATAAATCATACAAAAAAATAAGAAGTTAGGTCCAACTGAGCAAATGTGAGTTCTAAGTGTATCATGAGGCAACTTTTCTCCAGAAAAACCTCCTCCCCATCCCACACAGGAAGCTGGACTGTGTACATAAATGTGAAACCCGGAAGCTTTCTGGCCACTAGTCAATTAGTAATACCTTTTAACAAAAAGCAAAGGACTAAACATAAATATTTTCAATATAATTTTGAATATTATCCTCTTGTAATTATTGTAATCTCAAGAAAGGGATTAATTTTACAAGCTGAGATACAATGTAAAGTCAGCAACAGAAGCCGGGTGAAAACCAGTAATGCTCTATAATCACATTGAAAGCTGGAGGTAGCAAGTTGTTCTCAAGTTTCTTAAGCAAAAGAACTCAGAAGCTGTAAGAAAGCTGAGGATGGGTAAATGGCTGCTCCTGGAGTCACTCCCCAGGAGTTCAGCCCTTCTTCTGGCAGCAGCTGTCTCACTGGGAGAGCTTGAGCACACTCACAAGTGTGGAGGCAGGGCCTTATAGGACACAGGATGGGAAAGGCCGCAGCCTAAGTGCCACACTGAAAATGCGGCTTTGGGCTTATTCCTGCCTGGCTAAAAGTGATTCTCACCTAGAAAATTCTGAAAACACTCTCCTCAACATTTGCTAACTGCGATCATCCTTTAAATGTATTCACCAACCTTGGCAGTTACTTAACACTTTCTTACAAAATAGTTCTTGAGCAAAGTTACTTTCTGTGACTAGCACTATTTACAAGATTTGAATTTGATGTTTTGCCATCAAAAGAAATGTTTATTTTAGGCTAGGCACGGTGGCTCATGCCTGTAATCCCAGCACACTGGGAGGCCAAGGCGGGAGGATCTCTTGAGCACAGAAGTTGAAGACAGGCAAGGCAACATGGCCAGGCCTTATCTCTACAAATAATAATAATAATAATAATAATAATAATAATAAACTAGCTGGGCATGGTGGCATGTGCCTGTTGTCCCAGCTACTCAGGAGACTGGAGGCTGAAGCTGCAGTAGGCTGTGGTCCACCACTGCAGGTGCACCACTGCTGGAGCACCACTGCACTCCGGCCTGGGCAACACAGTAAAATCCTGTCTCAAAAAAAAAAGAAGAAGAAGAAATGTTTACTTTATGTCAGAATCAGCTGACTTGAGATCCTCTATCATTATCACCATAAAACACCTATTGGTATATATTCCAGGACACTTTCCACATAAGCATACAGTCTATGCTGACCACTTCCAACAACATCCAGTGTTCCTTCTCATTTTATGAATTTCACATAATTGGCACAATCTGTACCCAGGACATAACTCACTATGTGGTGTACATAGTAGAAACTTATTTAGAGTAATCTAATGATAAAGAACAGACATATGTTTGATGATGCATTCCTAGAGCCAGCCAACTTATCTATACAACATTGGTTTAAAGCATTCAGCTTTCCTGAAGTTGGTTTGTTACCAGATCATTTCTACTCTTCACCCTTCAATCTACTCTTTGGGCACATTCTTGCGTAAACGAAACACTAAAACAGCAACAAGGAATGGCTTCCAAGTGAGTCATAAGTTCCCTTAGTAAAATAAATTTTGAAATTCCAAAATAAGTCATTCTTGCACTGCATATTGGTCACTTTTTAAATGAATTAGATTCTGACTTTAGTAGAGTTTTGAAACTTTTATAAATACACAAACCCTGTGCAATACAAACATCATAGCCCCATGGACTGATGCTGCCATCTTGATGCCATGGACACTTTGACTTAGCGCGTTTGAGCAGACATTGAAAGATTTTCAGCTTTGCTTCTGTTTTCTCTTAAGAAAAACAAAAATCTCTGACATCTGTCAGTGAATCCTTTCAAACAATTAAGGCAAAGTGCCTGGAGATCTGCTGTTTAAAGGAGGTTAATGTGTACCAATTTTCAGGCTCCGAGCCAAGGATACAAAACAACAAATGGTTTGGCACCCACTACACAACTTCAAAAAGGTCTACTCTAAAAATTGTGACTATCAGCACAGCTTCTGCTATTGCCAGCAAAACAACATGGTGTACCCAATAATGATGCAATAGGCTCCCTTGACCCCATAACCAACGCATACATCTTTCTTCCCAGGATGAATATTCCCAATTCTGGCATGTACATTGTTTTCAAAGTTAGCTGAAGCATGTAAAACAGTTACATAAGTCCTCCTGGGCACCTCAAGTATTCTTAGAAGCAGTACTTATCATGCTAGTGAAATTCTGTAGGGGGGAAAAAGGGGCCAAAAAAAATGGAAACACTAATGAAAAATTGGTCACAACTAAAATTTAGACATATAGGCTGAGGGCGGTGGCTCACACCTGTAATCTCAGCACTTTGGGAAGTCAAGGCGGGTGGATCAGCTGAGGTCAGGAGTTCAAGACCAGCCTGGCCAACATGGTGAAATCTCCATCTCTACTAAAAATATGAAAACTAACCAGGTGTAGTGGCAGGTGCCTGGAATTCCAGCTACTTGGGAAGCTGAGACAGAAAAATCGCTTGAACCTGTGAGGTGGAGGCTGCAGTGAGCCAAGACTGTGCCACTACAATCCAGCCTGGGTGACAAGAGTGAAACTCCGTCTCAATAAAATAAAATAAAAAGATAAAATAAAATTTAAACATATGAAAACTGTTCTATAGTAAAAGTATTAAATTGGCAAGGAGTTAACATTTGAAGGAAAAATAAAAGTTGCCTTTGAAAAGTGGCAACCAGAAAAAAAAAATGCCAGTCAAGATAATTACCTCAAACATGACAGTATCCAAAAGACACAGTCACTGAAAACACAGTCAAGAATCCTTGGTCTATACACAGATTCTGTTACTAGCAAATTACTAAGCCTCTCAGCATCATCATATTAGCCAAGGTAATTCAAGTGGTTGCAGCAATATATA